TCTGGGATTCTATGACCTGTGGCCCGAGGCTCTTGATCCTTAGTGATCAAGAGCAAGAGCAGTAACCTGGTGATGCAGGTCCTTGGGTTGTTCATCTCCACAAGCTTTACCTTTTGTTTGTGAGAGTTGCAACATACCCAGCAATGTCTAACCTTTGTTTGCATTTCAGTTCTGGTGTCAAAAGCTTGGAAGAAGTTTGCCTTCAGGTGACAGATCTTCTGCCTGGCCTGAAGAAGCTGCGGAATCTGCTCCCCGAACACGGCTGTCTGTTACTGTCTCCAGGGAACTTCTGGCAGAACGACCGAGAGCGATTCAGTGCTGACCCAGATATCATCAAAACCATCCACCAACATGAACCAAAGACATTACAAACATCAGCTACTCTCAAAGGTAAGAGGCTGTGAAGTACCAAAGAAGCTGTGAGAAGTCCCTACAACTTGCAGGGCTGTTTTGTGCTCGATATCTCCAACATCTTGACTGCCAACGTCAGCAAATTGAGTGGCATTTTGTTACTCACAGCACCTGGAATGGAGCTACCAAATTATATCATCTCTCATTTAGTGTCTGTGTTTGAACTCGGTTCTTTATTTGTGGAAGGTGAATAATTCCACTCAGTCAGGCTCCTTTCTCTAGGTGTAAAAATAGCAGGTGACTTGTCCAAGTCTTTTTGTTCCTGGTACTCTACGTATCCTCTACCCCTATCTTATTCCCTCACACTATTGTCTGTCTTACTCAAAGACTTTCTCATTGTCACAGCTAAATGAACATTCACCCTGTTCCCTTTTGTGTGTTCACTGGTGCTAGCTTACATATGTGCTGAGTTAACAATGGATCTCATATTTTTTCTCTCTTAATTAAAAAAAAAATAAGTCTAACCATGCTGGAATGATATATTTTAGTGGTTCCAAATGAAATGCTGTTCCTTTGGTTTTAAAGGAACTTCATCAGTGTCAGGAAGTCCATCGTAGGACATGTCTGAATAGGGGATTTGTAACCCCTAAAGTGAGTTTGTTTTAAAAGTTATTTTTTTGAGCATCCAGAGCACGTGCACACTGTGGTTTGGAGCACATGGAGCCTCTCTTTGGGTGCTCGTTTGCAGACAAGATAGAGGTTCACAGTATCCTGGGAATTCCTGAGAACAATGGTAGTGTTCATCTGGAGCATGTGTCTGGTGAGGAACGGCTGAGGGAACTGGGGGTGTGGAGCCTGGAGAAAAGGAGGCTGAGGGGAGACCTTGTGGCTCTGTGCAAGTCCCTTGGAGGAGGGTGGAGAGAGGTGGGGGTGGGTCTGTTCAACCAAGGCCCAAGGGACAGGCCAAGAGGAAATGGGCTCCAGTTGTGGCCAGGGCAGTTGAGATGGGATGTGAGGAAGAATTTCTTTGCTGCAAGGGTTCTGAGGCATTGGAAGGGGTTGCCCAGGGCAGTGGTGGAGTCCCCATCCCTGGAGGGATTGAAGAGTCGTGTAGACACAGTGCTGAGGGACATGGGTCAGTCGGGGACTGGTCAGTGTTGGGTTCATGGTTGGACTCCATCATCTCAAAGGGCTTTCCCAACCACTATGAATCTGTGATTCTGTGATGAGGTAGTTGAGACCTTATGGGTTAGGATTAGAGGGCAGACTGTGTCTGCTACAGGAAGAAGAAGATGAGGACAGACAACTTCCCCACCGGAAAGAAGGTTTTTCATGGTTTGAGAGGAATTTCCCATTGTATTATTGGTACCCATTGTCTCTTGTCCTGTCACTGAGGGCCACCAAGCAGAAACAATCCATCTCTACTCCCTGCATCAGGTATTTATACACGTGGATCAGATCTCACCAGAGCACTGAGGAAACGCTTCCTGTGAGAACCATAGTTCTCACTCAGCGTTCTTCACAAAGAACACCTCTGGTATCCCATTTTTTCTTTATTTGGTTGTTATCCTCACGTTTTTTTCATGCTGTTTTTTTGCAGATCTGTTGTTTGGACTCCCTGGGAAGTACAGTGGGGTGAACCTCTACAATAGGAAGCGAGTGGTATCCTACACCGTCACACTCGGTCTCCAGCGCTATGATTCCAGGTAAGGAGCTTTAGCTGTGCTATTTCTATGTTAGGGATCCCTAAGTTTGCTGATTTCTCTACCCTGATTATTATTATGTTTCTCTTTTATCTCCATTTTCTTGTGTTTTAGAGTATTTTAGGATATTCTGATCATGGTATAGAAAAACAAGCTGCTGTGTTTTGGAGAAAACTTGCTGTCTTTTAGGGAAATAAAAAACTATCAATTCTCAATTTTTCTTTAAAAAATATATATATAATACTCAAATTTCCTCTGGTGATGGCTTCATCTGCACACAGAGCTGTCATTGTTGCAGCCAAGGCCCAGTGGGTCAGTTTTGACCCAGTTCCTGTTACATGGAGTGGTTTCCTTTCCAGTAAGCACTAATTCAACTAGCACTGACTCTGAAACCCCTTTGGCAGTGTTGGCAAAGCTTGGATTGAGTGTATCTGAGGACTAAATGTGCTGCACAGAATTCCCCAAAGAATGCCTAGGACAGGCTTGGCAGCACAGTAGTCAAACTTTGCTCTGGTGCCCCCCATGCAAGAACCCTTCAGCCTCAAGGATTGTCATGTAGCACCTCTCATCAGCCATATGTACATAAAATTCAGGCAGTGTTTGGGACCACAGCATGTTCTGTTCCCCAGGGCCAAGATTTTGGATGATGTGCCTTTGCTTTGATTAGCTTTGATGAATCTTTGTAGAATTCAAGGTCTGTAAGATGGCCACAGTGCAGATTTGATGAATATGTTTTGAGCTAAAGAGGAATAGACTCAGCAGTCAGGTCTAGAGAGAGCTGTGCTTTGTAAGTCTGCGTGAATCTACGGAGCTTCTTCCTACTTTGATCTTCTCCTGCCCCGTGGAATTGTGTGCTGGTTGTTGGGGACAGTGTTGGTGACATCCTCCTGCTTGCTTTTCATCCTCAGGTTCCTCAGCAGCCTCCGCTCTCGCCTCAAGCTGCTGCATCCCAGTCCTAACTGCACGCTGCGAGAGGAGAACATCGTTCACGTCCACTTCAAGGAAGAGATTGGCATTGCTGAGCTCATACCCCTCGTCACCACCTACATCATACTCTTCGCTTACATCTACTTCTCCACACGTAGGTTTGTGGGGTGGAGAGCCTTGAGGGGGAGAGCAAGCTAATAAACCACCTACACACCTGCCAGCTGAATATATGTAAGGGATCAGGGAGTGGGGTGCCCCTTCCCTGGCTACAGATCAGAGAGACTCCTGTCCAGCACTGCAATTCCCTCCTGTTTCAGCAGGAAAAAGGTGGTGTTGAAATTTTACTGTAGAGAATTAATAGTCCTGTTGATCTGATTTCTGCTAATTTGTCCCTCTTAGCCAGTGTGATGTTATTCCTTGTGGTATTTTCTGAGGTGTTTTCTGTCTTACACAGTTTTAAATACCATAGTAATGACTTTTTTTTTTTTCCCCATTTGGAGAAGCTAATTTGTTGGGAGACAGATCAAATACATGTTCTGAGCTGGTGGTTTTAGACCTGACTAGCCACATTGAAGTTCCTTTTTACGTGCCCAAACAGTGCTGTACTGGAATCAGTTTGGGCTCCAAGCCCTGTGTTATCCTCTGTCCCATCCTTGTATGTACTGGGAGGATCTGGGAGCTGCATTTCAGGCTTTGACACTGAACTACCCTCACTTCAGGGTTGTGGGGCTCTGTGCTGAAATAAGTCAGGATGAGGATCATTTCTCCTTGATTTTTTTATTAATATCTTATTTTCTTTGGCTTGGTAACAGGAACTTTGCCTTCTGTTTTTCAGGGAAGATTGACATGGTGAAATCGAAATGGGGCCTGGCGCTGGCGGCGGTCGTGACGGTGCTCAGCTCTCTGCTCATGTCCGTTGGGCTGTGCACGCTGTTTGGTTTGACACCTACTCTTAATGGAGGGTATGTTTCCAGCACCAAACTTCTTCCTAAAGAAGGGTGAATGGAGGTGAAATAATTTCAAAACAGCTGTTCAATGCTTAATCTTTTAAGATCTAATGTTCTTCAAATAAGCTTCTGTGATATTAGGAAGAAATTGTTTGGTGTGAGGGTGGTGAGCCAGTGTCCCAGGTTGGCCAGAGAAGCTGTGGCTGCTCCTCCCTGAAAGTGTTTGTGGCCAGGTTGGATGAGGCTTTGAGCAACCTGGTCTAGTGGAAGGTGTCCCTGCTGCTGGCAGGGGGGTTGGGACTGGATGAGCTTGAAGGTCTCTTCCCACCCATCCTGACCTTGACTCTAGGATGTGTGTTTCCTACTGAACTTGTGTTCTTCCCTTCTGTTTCACCAAGGATCTCATTCTCAATTCTGGTTCTTGTTTCCTCTAGAGAAATATTTCCATACCTGGTGGTTGTGATTGGCCTTGAGAACGTGTTGGTTCTCACCAAGTCAGTTGTCTCCACGCCTGTTGACCTGGAAGTGAAGCTTCGCATTGCCCAAGGTATGCTGAGAGAGAGAAAATGAGGGTAACCCAAAGATTGGGAGATCAGGAATCATCTTAATTCTGGTCTGTGAAGGAACTAAAAGACCATGAGTGTTGAAAGTGAATTGGGAACTGTATTTTATTTATCTTTTTGTACTGGTTTGGTTAATTCCAGTGGTTAATGTAAGGCTGTAGTTGTGAGAGCTGCTTGAGATCGTTGTTTGAAGTTTGAACAAGTTTAAAAAAGTGTTAGTAAGAGAGAACTCTTATCTCCTGGTATGGATATTTAGCACCTTGTCCTCTCGTGTCACGAATATCTTCAGCACAGTCCACAGGTCGTCTGAAGTTCTGCTGAGTCTGTGACAAAATTATCTCCACTGTTGTAGACACACTCTGTACCTGCATGTGGTTTTGAGCATGCTCAAACCATGGATAATTGGGAGTTTGCAAATTTAAACCATCTTTCTAAACATCAGGGGAGAGAGATTCTAGAGTGATGCCTAGAAAAATCTTACCTAGGTTTAAAAATACAAGTGGTTTGTATCCCAGATTGAAAACAGGACTCAGAAACCCAACAGTGCTTGGTTGGGTTGTATTGCCACGTGTGGTTCCCTCAAACTGCTTAAATCAGGGCAGTTTTGTGAGCTGAGAGAGTCATCCTGAGCTCCCTTTGTGGTTGATGATAATCCAGCTGACAGACATGGGACAGGCTGATTATTTTAATATATTATTTTATTAATATAACTTATATTATTATATTTATATTATTTATTTATA